CTTTCGGAAAGACTTTGATCTTTTTTTCCATGAAAAGTGAATTTCGATTTTCAATAATTAGCTTGACCCACCCACCCACAATTTGGAAAAATAGTCGAAATTTTAAAACATTGAAAATTCTGAATGGCCCCTAAGTTGCGCCATCAGCGTCAAAAAATAGCGCCCCCCCCCAAAAAAAAATACAAATAATAAAAAAAAAATAAAATACTACTACTAAGGGGCCATTCAGAATTTTCAATGTTTTAAAATTTCGTCTTTATTTCCAAATTATTTTGACCCACCCACCCACCCCTAATTTCGATTTATAAAAAAACTGATTTGTTACGCAGTATTAAAAAACAAAACATGTAGAGTACATATACATGTACATGTACATGCACTTGCATGTACATCATTACATCCCACTGGCGGGCCTGTGCGGGTTGCGTGTCCTTTCGGAAAGACTTGGATCTTTTTTTCCATGAAATGTGAATTTCGATTTTCAATTATTTAGCTTGACCCACCCACCCACAATTTGGAAAAATAGTCGAAATTTTAAAACATTGAAAATTCTGCATGGCCCCTACGTGGCGCCACCAACGTCAAAAAATAGCGCCCCCCCCAAAAAAAATACTTCTACTAAGGGGCCATTCAGAATTTTCAATGTTTTAAATTTCGACTTTATTTCCAAATTATTTTGACCCACCCACCCACCCCTAATTTCGATTTATAAAAAAAAACTGATTTGTTACGCAGTATTAAAAAAAAAACCATGTACATGTACATGTACATGTACATGTACATGTACATGCACTTGCATGTACATCACTACATCCCACTGGCGGGCCTGTGCGGGTTGCGTGTCCTTTCGGAAAGACTTGGATCTTTTTTTCCATGAAATGTGAATTTCGATTTTCAATTATTTAGCTTGACCCACCCACCCACAATTTGGAAAAATAGTCGAAATTTTAAAACATTGAAAATTCTGCATGGCCCCTAAGTGGCGCCACCAACGTCAAAAAATAGCGCCCCCCCCCCCAAAAAAAAATATTCTACTAAGGGGCCATTCAGAATTTTCAATGTTTTAAAATTTCGACTTTATTTCCAAATTATTTTGACCCACCCACCCACCCCTAATTTCGATTTATAAAAAAACTGATTTGTTACGCAGTATTAAAAAACAAAACATGTACAAGTACATGTACATGTACATGTACATGCACTTGCATGTACATCAATACATCCCACTGGCGGGCCTGTGCGGGTTGCGTGTCCTTTCGGAAAGACTTGGATCTTTTTTTCCATGAAATGTGAATTTCGATTTTATATTATTTAGCTTGACCCACCCACCCACAATTTGGAAAAATAGTCGAAATTTTAAAACATTGAAAATTCTGAATGGCCCCTAAGTGGCGCCACCAACGTCAAAAAATAGCGCCCCACCCCCCCCAAAAAAAAAAAAAATAATAAAAAAAAAATAAAATACTACTACTAAGGGGCCATTCAGAATTTTCAATGTTTTAAAATTTCGTCTTTATTTCCAAATTATTTTGACCCACCCATCCACCCCTAATTTCGATTTATAAAAAACTGATTTGTTACGCAGTATTAAAAAACAAAACATGTAGAGTACATGAACATGTACATGTACATGCACTTGCATGTACATCAATACATCCCACTGGCGGGCCTGTGCGGGTTGCGTGTCCTTTCGGAAAGACTTGGATCTTTTTTTCCATGAAATGTGAATTTCGATTTTCAATTATTTAGCTTGACCCACCCGTCCACAATTTGGAAAAATAGTCGAAATTTTAAAACATTGAAAATTCTGAATGGCCCCTAAGTGGCGCCACCAACGTCAAAAAATAGCGCCCCCCCCCCAAAAAAAAATACTTCTACTAAGGGGCCATTCAGAATTTTCAATGTTTTAAAATTTCGACTTTATTTCCAAATTATTTTGACCCACCCACCCACCCCTAATTTCGATTTATAAAAAAACTGATTTGTTACGCAGTATAAAAAAACAAAACATGTACATGTACATGTACGTGTACATGCACTTGCATGTACATCATTACATCCCACTGGCGGGCCTGTGCGGGTTGCGTGTCCTTTCGGAAAGACTTGGATCTTTTTTTCCATGAAAAGTGAATTTCGATTTTCAATTATTTAGCTTGACCCACCCACCCACAATTTGGAAAAATAGTCGAAATTTTAAAACATTGAAAATTCTGAATGGCCCCTAATATATATATTACAATGTACATCCTTATTTTCCCCGGTATGTTATTGCATGGCGTTTCTTACGTCAATTGGAAATAGAGCCATGAATAATGGTATAGTCATAGTGATCGAACGAAACTTCGTTTTGATTAGGACAATAGTCAGTTGCTAAATATTTATTGATTTATGACACAGACCTTGGTTTAATTTTGGATACTACCGTAGACCTGCCGAGCGGCTGTAAATATCAAACTTAACCAAAGTTGGAAAAAATAGAGATAAAAAAAAAATCAAAAAGTTATGTGCTAGCCAAGCTTTCAGGGGTCGGTCTGAGCCATAACAATGCCCCAGCCCGCCCCTTAGTTCTCTTCTGGGCTCTCGGGTGTCCCGGCCAATACACACTTCCTTCCCTGTCCATCCATATAACCCCGGAGGGCCAGGCACCATGTAAAAGCAAGAGCTAAGGGAGGAACAGGGCGGCCCCTAAGCCCTGATCCTCCGAGTGGACCACATGCCCTGAACCTATACGAAGGCGCCAACCTGGAACTCACGGACAGTACCAGCCGCAGAGCTTACCGATTAAGCTAAGGTACCGTTGGTAATTTACGACGGGAAATTAAACATCTTATAATGACTGAATAGAACGCGTGCGTTGAAAAGCAAAAAGACATCGACGGGATTCGATACCGGGCTCCGCGATTCGTGGACGACGAATCTAACCACTCGGCCATCAGGCTTCCTTGGAATTCTCCTCAAAAACAATGTGTCTTAATAATAGGCGGAGAAACCCGGAGCATTGCTGTGTGCATCTGTTTTGGCTCCATGGGCGAACAGAATCGAAGTCGATATTTCGGGCAATAATGAATCATCTGTTTTGTTTGGAAAATTGTATACGGCAGCCTCATTAGTCGTAGGCCGTGTGCTAAACATGTCTTGTCGTTACGCGACAATGAACACTATTATTATGTAGCCTGAAACAGGTATTAGGGGCGGATTTTGAAATTTTGGCGGACTGGGGGGAAGGAGTCAGGCCCTTTAGATGTTTATATCCGATCTTATCATTTTTCATAATTGTATAGCCTATACATTATTCTGTGTGTGTCAGTAGAGCGGGATCAAGGGCGGATCCAGAACACAATTTTTGGGGGGGCCAAAAAAAATTTTGGTCCCCCAAAAAAGTGGGTCTAAAAAATTACGGCGTGGGGTTCGGGGCCCGCTAGGGCCCCGAAAAAATTTTGGATTCTAGATGCTCTGTGGTGCGATCTGAGGCAATTTCTGACCACTTTAACCAATTTTTTTTGAGGAAAAGATGGTGGTGTACTCATTGCCTGCCTTTATTGCGATGTCACATAAAAAAAAAAAAAAATTGGTTTCGTTTTGGGGGGGGCCATGGCCCCCTTTGGCCCCCCCTGGATCCGCCCTTGAGCGGGATTGGCGGGGCGGGATGGGGGGGGGGTTCGACCCCTGCTCTGGATCCGCGCCTGACTTCTATTCTTTGTATTTTGGACAGGGACAGATACGGATTCTCAACTCCGCCACTACTACTTTAGTATTGTGCGGACATTTTTAAAAAAGGAAACGATAATTGTTTTGACAGATTTTTTAAAAACAGTTTAAATCAGGCCTGTATTGCGTTCGCTTTTCAATCCTTCATCAGCCTGTGATCAGACATTATTTTCGTGCAAAATAATGTGAAGAGCAAGTTTTCATCCTTAACTCTCAAAATATGAATATTGAAATGTAAACAAAAACAACCCTACACCAGGACACCACATTGCACTAGGGGCGCTGGTCACGATACCGATGTGCATCCTTTATGATAGCGCTTCGCTCGTACCCCCGCCCTGCAAATAGGGCCCAAGTCGCTTGGCCGGTGTCATAATTATGAAAATCGGACTTCAACGAAAATCGGACTCTTTTCCCTTATTTATTGGTTGATCACTCGCAAGTGAAAGGTCCCTCTCCCATAATGGTCCTTATTTAATCGCACTTATGACATCAACAATAGTATATCGCTCTAGATGATGAAATAGTGGGATTTACCGCGGCAATGTCGAACTTAATTTAAAAGGGTGGGAAGCAATGCGATGCATGCTAGCGCTGATATTTTTTTAATTTAAATTTGAAAACCGAAAATTGTGTTGCGGCTACAATGTACTGACAAAATACATATATAAAAAAAAACAAATTTTACAAAAAGTCGGTCATAGTGGCAAGTCTTAGCTTTGCGTTTACATGAAACACTCTAGGAAAAATAATTCGCTATATACTAATCATTAAACTCGGAACTGCCTCAATCTTTGGTCTGCTTAATTAACTTGACATTTGATCAAAATACACAGTATACTAAATGAATCTTATTTTACTTTGGCTGTGGTACATAATTTGTTGTCTTGAGTTAAAAGAAAGAGTGGGGAGGGGGGGGGGACCTCAATGTGGGGGAGGGAGAAATCTCCATAACCATGGAGCAATTCGGTAGGCCTATTCGCGGTACCGATGCATACTGCACGCATTGGCATGCATGACACTGTCACTGTGTGGGACAGCGGTCACTGTGTGACTGCAATGTAGTCTCCTAACAATGGGCGCTGCCATATTGCGGCTCGTTCAATACTTTGCTTTATAAAATCAACTTTAAGCCATTAATTTTAATACAAACATTAAAATTGTTCAATGTATAAAGTTTTTCTGTCTTTTATTGTTTTTTTTTACGATAAATATTGCTAAAATATATCCAAAGACCTTCCACAATATGTCAATATAAAAACTACGATTTCATCATTTTGCAGAGGATGGTACGGAGCATGCGCAGTCGGCACTTTCGCATGTGTCTCATGCAATCACGAACCACTGTTAAGGCCAGATGCTGATCTGTTTCAAATAAAAGACGAAGTTTTACCCAAAGTTGTGGACTTTTTCCAAAGGTAACCTTGTTGGTGTTGACAGGAAACAAAGTAGGGTGACTAGGTTTCAATATGCCAACAGCTAGTCCGCAAAATACCGGAGAGTCATCGGAGCTGGCGGCGGCCGGTGATGGAGCGGGTGCACCGGCCGGGGCTGCCGGCCCGCCCAAGACGGAAGCACAGCTGAAGAAGGAGCAAGAACGAGAGGCCAAGCGACAGGCCAAATTGGAAAAATTGAGGCTGAAACAAGAGAAGCAGGCCAAACAACAGGCAGAAAAACCAGCTAAATCTGCGGTAGGTACTGATCTCATCTTGTTGTAGGCCTACTACTTGTTTCATCATCATCAGTCTGGGAGTGTCACATGTTTGTCAGTCAGTCATTGTCACTGTCTCAGTGTGTCACTGAGTTTCCAGGTTGTCGCAAAGTACGTGTGTGTACAGGTATGCCAATTTAATTTAGTTTTACTTCAGCTTTGCATCGTCAAGTTTTATCATGTTCATGATCACCATCCCTGGAAAGAATGTTGCAACCTGATGCTGCTTATTTCTTCATATAGCCTAGGTCTAGGCCTATCATTTCAAGAAGTTCGTTCATCCGACTCATATTACCAGCAAAAATGATGGTAAGACCTGACATATCTGAAGACATGAATCAGGGACTGAGAAACGTTTTTAATTTTGTTCGGAAATACTTAAAATATTCTCTTGACTCCCCATAGACTTTTTCATGTTTGTACACAACCTCTGAAGTTGCGTCAGGTTGCATCATTCTTTCCCGATCCCCTTCTTCATTTTGTCCTTTATTCATGTTATTCAATTGATGTGTTTATTTTGTTTACAAAAAAAAAGAACCATGAGAAAGAGTGTGGCATCCAGATGCCACATGATTTCTTATTCATGTCTTTTCAACATGTTTCAACATTTTGTGTAATGACTGACGTTCATTGACATTGAGATAAATACATGATGAAAAAACGTGGCGTTATGATGCAACATTTCCATCTGTCTTTCTGAACAGTTTTTGTAAGGCTGAGTAAAAAAAAAAAAATTTTCTTTCTCTGAAAGATTTCCATACATGTATACACAGTTCACTCAACACCCTGTGTACAAACCCTATGAGATTGGACTGAAAAAGAAAATGCTTGTATTTTCTCACTGCTCAAATTGACTTTGATGACATGAAATTGCTATCTGGGGGCTTGTTAGTCAATACAGAGGAAAATTAGTGAACTTCGCATATGGTAATCTTGCCCCCGACTCCACTTCTGCGATTGTGTACAAAGTCTATGGAGAGTCAAGAAAATTTTTTTAAGTATTTCCTAACAAAATTGGAAATGTTTCTCAGTCCCAGATTCATGTCTGATCATCATTTTTTTTGTAATGAGTGATCTTCATTGAGATGATATATGAAGAAAAAAAGTGGCGTCAAAAAAAAAAAAGAACAACCCAATTGACCGTCATTGCCCGCATCCTTTTTTGAAGCGGCATCCTATTTTTTCATTGTTTTTTTTTTATCTCACTTGAAACGTGGCAGTACTCAAAATACTAACTGTTTCTTGTTTTCCACTGAACGATCAACCGGTTTTTTTTTTACTTTGCCTAACAAGTCTATTTCCTGCGTGTTTTGCATCAGTTCCCCTTTTGTACAATTTGTAGTGAACTATTTTACATGTTGCGCATTGATTTTTTTCCCCTTTTATCGTTATTTTTCTTTAGGCCAAGGAAAAGAAAGAGAAGTCAGAGAAAGTTTCAGCAACTTATGAGTTTCCTACACCACCAGGGGAGAAGAAAGGTACAAACTTAATACGATTACACCTGACCTGCGTTACCATGTAATGCAGGCATATTAATTAATGAGGGCATAAATGTGTGTTCTGGAGGTATTATAACACTCTGTTTAAAACCGGTGGGAGTCTGGATGGGCGATAATTCGCCTCGGGTAATTATCACCCATCCAGACTCACACCGGTTTTAAACAGAGTTTAATACCGACGGAACACACATTTATTCCCATTCATAAATATCTTTGTAGTCCAAAAAAAACCCCAAATCTTTTCGGTCCAAAAATCAAATCAAGTCAAAAACTAGACGTTATTAACCATTTTGTTCAACAATTTTACTTCATGTTTTACGAAACACCCCTCTGACTATAATTGGAATGCCCCTCCACAATTGCGTGCGCGTTGCGCATTCCACCTCCATGGTCGCGCGTACTGCGCGATGTCGCGCAAAACGCAGCTGGGCTGGTGTAGTGTGAATATCGGACCATAAAATAATGATTGGCTGGTAGTATTGCGCATGTATACGTGGGGAATTTGAACGTTCAACCAATGAAACGTAAAAGGCACCGGATTTCATGGGACTCAAAATTTCATGTGACACTGGTAAAGTGTTTAAGACCAGCTAGCCATGTCTTTATGATCCGTTTAAGACCGGCCACGTGACAGGCTCTTGACCAATACGAATGCGTAAACGGTCTTAGATATTTATGAATGGTAATTAAACTTAAGGACTTGTAATATGATGATGTAGCACTTGGAAACTGAACAGAGTTTAACTTGGCTTTTCTACTGTGACGTGTGGTCTGTATTACCATTAAATATACATTGTACAAACACATGATGTAATACTTAACTAACAATTGAAACGCTACTGAAGTGCACTCACCTTGAAGGCGCTGGATATTTGGCCGGTGCCAGTTTCCATTGAACTTTATTTACCCCCCCCCCCCAAGATCTCGCCCATCCAGTGACAAAAAAATTTGAAACTCAGTACATGCATAGAGCAACTCTTCATGAACATACCCAAGCAATTTCATGACTATAGGTCAAAGGGTTTTGGAATTATGGCTAATTAATTATTCATTCTGGTCTGTGTACACGACGAATATATGCGAAAATTCAGTTTTGACGGCGCGTAGCGCCGAAAAAAATTCCGCTGCGCGACAACCCCTAGTCTGATTTTTATATTTTTGGTGTCAAAAGATGCGCAAGGCTCGAGGCCAAAAAGTCATAACAGCTCAGGTCGCTAAAAAATTTTTTTAAAGGCTATCGCGGAAAAAGTCGAGGGGGGCGCCCCCCCCCCGTCCCTTTTAGGGTTAATAACCTAACCCCTCAGCTCCTTCAATATTCACCAGGAGTTGTTACACATGTACGTCCCAATCACTTTTTTGAGGGCTTGACGTCTGTTGAAAGAAAGTGCTGAAGAACATGCTAGTATGACATTTTGTAGGATTGGGGAAGATTCTTTACAAAAATGCCAAAGGGCAATTCCACGGTTACTCACGTTACATTTTTGATGTACTTTTGAGTTTCCTTGGGCTGTAATTACCTTACAGAAAAGGTTTAATAGCTGTTATCCCCATGGTAGATTGAGTAAACCTAGACCTACCTAAGCACCAAAGATGACATCCAGAAAAACTTGTTATGTATGATAAACAAGACGCACAAAATCGGTTACTCACATTACAATGTGAGTAAACGATTGTGTGCGTCTTGTTTATCATACATAACACATTTTTCCGTATGTCATCTTTAGTGCTTAGGTAGGTCTAGGTCTACTCTATCTACCATAGGGATAACAGTTATCAAACCGTTTCAGTAAGGTAATTACAGCCCAAGGAAACTCAAAAGTACATCAAAAATGTAACGTGAGTAACCGTGGAATTGCCCCAAAGGCTAAGGAGTCACAGAAACTAATGGGAGTGGCTTGCCCGTATGATGTAAACATGTACATGTACATTTGTATGTATGTTCAATGTGGTCCTATTCTAGATGTGAGTGGTCCGTTACCTGATGCCTACAGTCCAGCATACGTAGAGGCTGCGTGGTACCAGTGGTGGGAAAAGCAAGGATTCTTCAAACCAGAATATGGAGTAAGTGTGGAAAACTATTCATCTCGGATCCCCAAATTGAAAGAAAACACTATTTGGTACCTGAAATTGACAGTCAATTATAAATAACTTGTATTGAAAAACTTATGACTAACTTATTGTTAACTTCACAGAGGAAAAGCCTGAAAGACCCCAACCCCAAGGGCACGTTCATGATCTGCATCCCCCCACCCAATGTGACGGGTTCCTTGCATGTTGGCCACGCCCTCACTAATGCTGTGGAGGACGCCCTCACCAGGTGGTAAGTAGCCAGCTCAGAGAAGTTGCACTGTTGAGAGTGTACTATTGGACAGAAAAGTGTGCATGCCTAATTGTAACTTACCTTTATTTGAGACTCAAAGGCACTTGATATTATATTCATAAATACCTGAGCTAGTTTACCCATTGTATTGATCGAGAGCCCATCACGTGGTTTAAGCGTGCAACACGTGGTTTAAACGTGGTTCACGCCGTTGAAACACGGGTCAGCGATGTTCAAAACCAGTATCGAAATCGGGCACTCCACGCCAAATGTGCGCAGTATATGTCGTGCGCCTTCTACAACTGGCCGCTTAAACGCCATCTTGCGATCACTGAAATGATCTCCACATAAAGAGAATAAGATGTTAAGCAAACCATGCATGTAACGCACACAATACAAGTCCCCTGAACATGGATTAAAACTGTTGAACAAAATATCGATGGAATTTTGTTCTTTGTCTGATACATGTAGTTTGGGGAATTTTTTACCAAAAAGGTATTTTGAACGGGAATAATAATGTGGTGGAACAGTTTTAAACGTCTGGTTTAAAACTGGTTTTGGGCTTCAGCTTGGGACGTTATTAACATCCAGGCCCCAAACAAGCCCCTTACAGGTGTTAATGCCTGGTTTACAGCAGACATGGCATGTAGATATTCATGTAAATGAAAGGAATTTCTGCTTGCTTTTAGTGAACACCTGTTCTTGGTGAACATTTGGTTTAACGATCATAATTAACTTTTCTATAATTTTTTATATAATTAATAGTAAGTTTCCTTGATATGGTGACAGTCCCTTGATCACCCTTGTAACAGTCAATATATTTTGGGGAACCTCGTCAAATCGAAAAGTGCCACCAATGGCCTAAGTGAAGAAAGTCGTATTGAATATTCACATTTACGAAATTACCAGATTAACAAAGAACTGAACTCTGTTATTTCCTTTGATGAGAAACTACTTAGGGGTTTAATAAATATTGTTCTGTACCGGCCCAATCTGCCCAAGAAGTCTATGTTTTTTCATTATTTTTCAAGTTGAACATAGAAATTGACTCGAGCGGGGTTCAAACCTGCAACCTCCGGATTGCCGTTTCGGTGATCTACCAACTGTGCTATCTAGCTCTATTTTGGCAGTTCCCCAATTGGTCAATGTCTTTGTTCAAGCACCCCTTGAACAAAGATATCAAACAACCAACATGGGGCTGGATAGCTCAGTTGGTAGTGCACCAGAGCGGCAATCCGGAACGTGCAGGTTCAAACCCTGCTCCAGTCAATTTCTTTGCTCAAGTTTTATTTTTTTTTATTTTTTATAATGCATCGAAGCAGTTTCCTTTGTGGTATATTTAAAAGTATTGGGAATTGATACACGTATGAAATAAAATGTACACAGGTGGTTGTGGGTGAATGCAACCAGAATAACATGTATTCTTTACTTTTCAGGCATCGTATGCGAGGGGAGATGACCCTTTGGAATCCAGGCTGCGATCACGCCGGTATCGCGACCCAAGTCGTCGTTGAGAAGAAACTATGGAGAGAGCAGAAGCTCTCCAGGCATGACCTGGGAAGAGAGAAGTTTGTTGAACAAGTCTGGAAATGGAAGAATGAGTAAGGATTAAGCGAACTTTTAGTTGACATAATAAATATTGTCATGTGTACTTGGTGCGGTTGGATTTGAGGTTGGACTCGAACCTGGGACCTTCTTTTTACTACCGAAGATATCGGGCGAATTGCAGGCTCCAACATTAAAAGGATTCAAATACAAATGATAATGATAGCAATTTTGTCTTTTCTGGTATTCATTGTCACACACATCAGGAGGTGTTCTACTAAAATTGAACATTGGTTTATTATTTTTTTTACACTTGCCTGGACCCATTCTCAAATTAAGGTTCGTCCCCAAAAAGTTTCCCACTGGCAAGTGTCATTTTGGAAAGTGTCATTTTGTCATGGAAGTTGTATATATAAACAGTTCAGTAGGTGGTTCAAGTTTTACTATTGAATTTGAAGTGTGGGGGAAATGTCGGCACTCGTTCTTGCCTTCCGTACCAAGTCAAGCAGGTTGTTCCTAAATTCTCCATTGCGACCTTTTAACCCTTTCCTTAACCATGGGCGACTTTTGTCGACAAGAAGAACCCCCTGCTGGTTCCCATGGGCGACTTTAGTTGACCAGGAAACCACACACAGAACACCCTCAACCCAGATATCCACTACTTTTCAGAAAGGCGGTATGTTGATATGTTTTCCCGCCCATACATCAACCACATACCAGCTGAAAGAGTGTTTTCGGATCGTTCAAATGGTGTAGTTTATTCATAGTGTTGCCATTACAAAAAAATGAGAAAAGTGCTTTAGAAGTATCCACTCACAAGTTGAGGTATGGAGTGCCATTTGGTCATGTGGTAAAATGACTTGCAGTTTGATAAATGAAACCAGATGAACAAACAGGCATAACTTTCTTATATTTACACATATGGACTTCATTTTTACATCATATAAAAGAGTAAGGTTCAATGAACAAACTTTACACATAACACCTATGATTTAAATCACTCCTTGGCAGTGAAAATCTGGGTTGAAAAAAGTGAGTTTTGGACTTGTGGTCATTTTGTCACGCTCCCGCGATTTCCGCATGACTGAGCAAACAATTTGGTCCTGGGGAGAGCCAAGTCAATAAACAATGTGGGCATGAAAGGGTTAACTCAATGTCAAGTTGTCAACTATGAGGTACAAGTTAATTCAATATTATTGTTCAAGTTTGTACTACTCCAACTTTATTCTCGTCACACTTTTCTGTTCGTCAGGAAAGGCGATCGCATCTACAACCAGATTCGCCTGATGGGTTCGTCCGTGGACTGGGACCGGGCCTGCTTCACCATGGAACCCAAACTGGCCAATGCTGTGCAGGAAGCCTTCATACGCATGCACCAGGATGGAACGATATATCGCAGCAACCGATTGGTCAACTGGTCGTGTACTCTGAAGAGTGCCATCTCAGATATTGAGGTACGGCTGCCCAGGAATGACGTGGCTACAGCCAACGGGAAGAATTCAATACATGGACACCACTAATTTTTCCCTGCAGTGACCTATCAGCCATCAGAAAGTGATAACATGTCCTGAAAAGTCATATTAGCAGTGAAAATATTGAAGCAGTTTAACTGAGAAAACACTTGGAATTTTTCAGACCAGTCTCATAGGGTTTGTGCACAGGGTGTCAAGTGGTGTCCAGGTATGGAACTCTTTCCAAGCCAACAGTATCACACATGTGACAGGCATGCAACTTTTCCTCGGATCAGCTGATTTCCTCTTTTTTTTACTTCAGATGTGTGCCATTGGAAATAGAAAAACACTGTACAAAGTCTGGGAAAAATGTGAATTTCCTCTTTTTTTGTGATTTCCCAGTTGCATACCTGATGTGAGGTTGCATCAGCCACTGCATGCTGTTGGCAACTTCTAAAAACTTTGGCTTTTTCCCCGGCTCTAGAGTCGAGACTTTCCCATTCCAATTTTAGGTCTCTGACGTTTTGAGTGCAGTATGAATCCCTTTTTAGCTACGGTAATATCAATATTTTTTATACAAAGCTGTACAAAAAAGTGAAAGAGCTACAAGTGGTTTCAGTGCCAGATGTTAAGATGGGCCTGAATATAAGGCTGAAGCGAATGCTAGGTTTCAATAATGGCTATGTACTGTATTTATGAACTTCACTTTAGCCTTAAAGCTAATATACATCATTTGCTTTTGCTTTAATTTTCAGAAATGGATGAAATTGGGGGGTTGGAAATATATAGCAAATATAGTTACACTGACTTTTTTGAGGTTTTGGGTTCGAAAATGCTATAAAAACCAAGAAAAACAATCATTTTCCTGTAGTCTGGTTCCCTGACTCCATACAAGAAGAAACAGCAGTTTACATACATTGGGGAATTGTAAGGTCAGGGAACCAGTCTAGCTGGCTTGTACGCCTTCATAGGTGTGTAATCGATTGCAAACAAGTGCAATAGTCAATTGGGGCCAGTATTTGAAAAAAGCCAGTATAAATACAAGCCAGAAAAAAATGACAGTATACCAGGTGCCATGATTTTACAGGATGCTTTACACGGTCATTCACTAACAGTCCAGCAAGGTATTTCAAAATGATTTGGTAGTTTTATTTTTTGATGTTTTCAAATGTTGTATTTTCCCTTAAATGTGTTTTTCTTTTGGGAACCTATGCATTCATCTTGAGAGTGATGCAAGTGCAGTTTCTATCGACCAATGTGTTTACTGTGTGTTTCTTTCACACAGGTTGACAAGCGTGAGCTGCCTGGACGGACCTTGCTCTTCGTCCCTGGTTACGTGGAGAAGGTTGAGTTTGGAGTGCTGGTCTACTTTGCTTACAAGGTAGAAGGCTCAGGTAAATCTGGATAAATAAGATTTTCAGAGATACATGAAGAGAGCTACACATAGACTTTATCATGCTGCCGCCATTTCAGTCATGTTCCTGTGTCCAATAACGCACTAAATGATAATGTTTTTTTGTGCAAAAAGGAATCAGACTATTTTTTCTTCCAGCCTCGCTTTGGTTACGTCGATTTGAATGAGACAAACATCAAGATGGCCGCAATATGATAATGATCTATTGCATGAAACTCAGTGGATAAGTATGCTCTCAGTGGTTTAACATCTCTGTTTAGATTGAAGAACACTTCAGCCCAGTGTCAGTTGTGCGCCCAGGCTCAGGTGCATTCCTGTTTTTATGCAAAGACGGCATGTGTTTGTGCTCATTCATTTGCACTAAAAATCAAAACTGAATATTTTACTGTGGACTCTGCTCAGAAGAAAGTTCAAAGTGTTCTCCAACCTGTTAAAATACCCTGGTGCCCCGCCATGCTTTTTGAGCACCCGCCATGCTTTAAAAGATGCCGCCATGCTTCCAAAAAAAATAGAAGTATTAAAAAGACAAACAAGTGAGACGACCGGTACTCTTACCCTCCATATTTTGGCTAGAAACTCTGCCAAAAGCAGTAACATGCAACACTTGTCAAAATGACAAGCCTGCCCATTGTATCAATCCATCAGGTAAAAAGTCTCAAGGCCGTACTGCCTCAAAGTCCCCGGTCACTGATGTATTAAAAAAAAGTGATGCTGAGCCAGTATTGTACTTAACTGTTAGAAATGGCCTAAAAGTTGTTAGCCAAATGTTAGCCAGTTCCTTGGCAGAGCCATACCTGAGCATTCCTCATTGTTACTTGTAACGTTATTTCAAATGTGTCCGTTTATATGTAGATGAAGAGCTGATCGTTGCGACCACCCGTATTGAGACCATGCTAGGAGATACGGCCGTCGCCGTTCACCCAGACGATGCACGTTTCAAACATCTTCACGGCAAGCGCGTCGTCCATCCCTTCCGCAGCTGCACGCTGCCCATCGTTTGTGACGAGTTCGTCGACATGAACTTTGGGACTGGTAGGTTGAACATGGAGCTCATCCGTTGAACAATTGTTGTGACCATTTTTGCACTTCTCAGTGTTGTAGTAAAAAAGGTTTCCATAAATTCTTGTTCAACTGCAACTGAGTGCTGCGCCGGTAAAAAGTTGCACGAAGAGTATGCCAGTTAAAATTTGCGTGGAGTGATCGATATGTGGTGCTAGAGTGTTTTGCAGTAAGTATTTCATAACTCTGGCATACAACTTGTCCTTGGATCCGCTGATTTCCTGGTTTTTTTTACTTCTCATGAATGCCATTACAAATTGAAAAACACTGTACAAAGTCTTGTGTGGTTTGGGATTTCCTCGTTTTTTCCTAAATTGCTAGTTGCATGCCTGAAACTATAAAGGGCTTTGACGTGCTAATCGGATGTGATCAATAAACTGCTGTTGACAATAAAGTTACCGTCGACAAAAAAGTGGCACCTGACAATAAAGCGCCACAACTTTACGATGAAAGAACTTCCCAATCGCATGTCTTGCGTGCGCGTTTGTTTATGAAAATCGAGGACACACACGTGCAACATCATCGGTGAATCGAGGGCAGGAACCAAATCAAGGTCGTAAACGTGTACAAAACCAATGAAAGCTGTTGCGAAAAAGTTATAGAACAAACAAAGGAAAAGGGAAGGGGAACAAAAGAAAATCCTTGATTTACACCCTAAACAAATGTGCTAGTATGTGTGTAGGTTTTTGTTTTGAAATATTCAAACTAGCAAGAAGCTATTCAAATATTTGGTTGATGATCGAAACATTCGAGTATTCGTTTTTTTGGGACAGCCCTATAGTAAAGTGTATGTATTATTTTTGAATTTCTTTATCAACAGGTGCTGTGAAGATCACTCCAGCCCATGACCCCAACGATTACGAGGTCGGCAAACGCCATGACCTGGAGTTCCTCACCATGATCTCGGATGAGGGAAACATCACAGATGTCTGTGAGCAGTTCAAGGTGAGGTTATTGCTGATGTTATTTCTGAGGTCATTGCTTTGGTTATTACTGAGGTTATTACTGAGGTCATTGCTGAGGTCTTTAATGAGGTCACTGCTGTGGCCGTCGCTGAGGTTTCCACTGAGGTAATTGCGAGGTCACTGTTGTCATTGCTGAGTTCAATGGTGAGGCCATTCCTGGGTCACTGTTGAGGTAATAGCTTAGGTTACTTCGCTGAGGTTTTGCTGAGGTCACTGCTGAGGTTATTACTGAAGTCATTGCTGAGGTCACTGCATTAGTCATTGCTGTGTTCACTGCAGTAGTCATTGCTGAGGTCATTACTGCAGTGGTCATTACTGAGGTCTTTGCTGAGGCCATTGCTGAGGTCATTGCTGAGGTCATTGCTTATAAGTTCACCTATTACATTTACATTTTGCCCTGTATGAATCCATACAACCACATAGACTCCGTGCACAAACAGTAGATGGTGCTTTGTGGCCACTTTCAAAAACCCGAGTGGGAGGGACATGCCACCTGTGCTTAGTGTATCCCATGCCTATGGCCTGAAGGACACACAACTTGTTTTGTTTTCCAAGCATTGTTGGCATTTCGGCAGAACATCCCTCCCAGTGGTCTCCCCAATTCTGTATTTGTAATTGAGGGGGCACTTGTGCAGGGAGTCCATAGCGCAGTGTAGCGGTTTGGATGTTATAGGGTCTGAAGAGTGGAGCATTAAAGGGAATGTACATCATTGGCTTTTGCTGTAATTTTCAGAAATGAACTAATTGGGGGGTTAGTATAATAGATTCAAATATTGTTACACTGACATGTTTGAAGTTTTGTGATCGAAAATGCTTGAAAAACCAAGAAAAACAAAAATATTCAAGTAGTCTGGTTCCCTGACTCCACTAAAGATGAACTGGATCAATATACCGGAACATTGTAAGGTAAGGGAACCAGTCTAGCTGGCCTGCACCCGTTCATGAACATGGAACCAATAGCTAGCAAAACAAAATTTAGACTAAAAAAAAAGGGTACATTTGGAGCAGTAATTGAAAAATAGTTCCAACGGTGGTCGGCTGACCAGCGTTGGAAATGTATACAAATGTACCATTTTCTTGAAAATGGCTTCACACCAGGTGCCATAATTTCACAGGATGCTTAAGCATGTCATTTACCAACATCCTAGTAAGGTATTTTGTAACAACTTGGTAGTTTTATTTTTCGATGTTTGCAAATGTTGTATTTTCCCTTTAAAGCTGACAACATATTGCATGGGTCTTTTTCATTTTCAGGGCATGAAGCGCTTTGATGCAAGGAAGGCCGTCCTTGCCGCTCTCAAGGAGAAGGGACTGTACAAAGAGACCAAGGATAATCCCATGGTAGTTCCTGTGTGCAGGTGTGAAATATGCTTAGCACAAACATATAATTGCGTTAGTCAGAATCCATAAACCAGTCTATGCCATGCAGCAGGGTATCATGCCCAAAGTCACGATACTTAAATTAAATGTCAAAGCGATCTTCAAATATTGAATAAGGTGCGTCCTTAAAAATTATTCATAAATACCTCAGACAGTTTAGCTATTCCTATTGGCCGAGAGCCCGTCACGTGGCCGGTCTTAAACGGATGGTAAAGACATGGCTAGCTGGTTTTAAACACTTTTCCAGTGTCACATAAAATGTGGACTCCATGCTACGCGCGGGTCAATCTCCAAAAAAGGGTTGTTTACATCTTACTCGCCAGCTGAACACTCCATTATTTTGCTAGAGGGATGTTTCAAAAAGTATGAAGTGAACTTGTTGAACAAAATCGGGATTTTTTTTAAAGAATTATTTAATTTTTTTTACCGAAAAGGTATTTATGAATGGGAATAAATATGTGCTCGGTCGGTAAATCTTGTTTGTCTTAATTCCAGTCGCTCTAAGGATATTGTTGAGCCTCTGCTCAAGCCACAGTGGTACGTGGACTGCACAGACATGGCGAAACAGGCTGTGGCGGCCGTGGAGGAAGGCCAACTCAAGATTATCCCAGACATGCACATCAAGACGTGGAACAACTGGCTGACAAACATCAGGTAAACCTTGTGCCTTGTTATCGCTTTTTACACACATGGTTCCATGCTACCATGTGCTGTCTATTAATTTGGAGTGTTATAGTGGTCATGCGACTGCAAACAGCCGTCACTTGAGCTTGTTGACTTGTCTTGTTGACAGGATGATTGATTATCCATGCATTTTATAACACAACATGTGGTTCTTGTCAGAGGGGCAGGTGTTTGGCTAGGATTTTCAGTGTCAATAGTTCAACCCGGGCTAAAGTGGCACTCTCCACGTTATTTGTTTGAATGAGGAACTTGTATGATATTAATTTTTTTTACTAAAAAATTAAGTAAACTGGACTCAATAGACCTTTAGGGACCGTGACCATTCAGCCCTGGTATGAAAAGGTCCCCCGGTACCTCGTCCGGTCCAGAGCCAGTCCGGTCTTCAGCCCAGTGTCGTCCGGTACATAGTCCTGTCTGACCAGAAGTTTTGAAGTCAGTCAGGCGCATCAATTTATTGCCCTTCAGAGAACATCCAGAGCAGAACAATAGCAGACTTATCGGATTAAAGATAAAATCCTTCCAAACGCCTTGATAATTTACGGTCCCATTGTGCGCGAAACAGCATGGCAAGGGGTTTGATCTGTGCCGATGAAAGTGTTCTATTGTTTCGCGCTGAGAGATGAAAACCACAAGCAGGTTTCTCCTGGGATATATTACAGGTGTCAATACTTGCAAACAAATAGACCCCAGGATAAAGGAGTTCCTGATTAGCAACCGGACCAGCTCCTGGGCCGGTAGCTGGGAGGGTACGAAAGGACTTCTTGGGAGGGGACGAGCTTACCAGGGGGCCCTTTTCATACCGGGGCTGAATGGTCATGGTCCCTTATTATGCTGCCACCATTTCAGTCATGTTCCCGGTATTCAATAACAGTACTGAATGATTGTGTTTTTTTTTTTTTGCAAAAAGGAACCAGACTATTTGTCCTTCCAGCCTCGTTTTGGTTACATTGATTTGAATGGGGAAAATCAAATGGCTGCAACATGATAATGGTCTATAGAGCACAATCAGTCCTGGGATGTACACAATTGTGATTGGTTTTCAGCTAATATTTTGCTTACAACATATCTTTGCTCAGCAATATTTTCTGCTCAGCAGTTAAAGCAAAACTGGGGTGTGGGGCAATTTCATGTGGCTACTAAGAACAGAACTTTGCTAAGCTCAGAAAATGTTTGCTCATGGTGGACTTTAATAGACAAAATAGGTCACCAGTCAAAATGCCATTCATTGCTATTGCTTTTGACTGTTTAATGCTCCGGAGATGTGTTTCTTAAGCACAGTAATTTGCTGAACAGTATTTTTACCCCCCTGTATAAAACAGTCCAATGAAATCAGTCATGCACGTTTCTAACAGAGGAGTAAGCACAGCCAAAAGCATGCTTGTTTCAAAGGCAGAAGTTGGTTCTACCACAATAGGTTTACTTGTCATGAAATTGGCATTCTGTGTCAAAAAATGGTTATTAATAATTTCTTTTTTTCTCACAGACTTGAGCCCCATGCATACGCTGTTTGTTTGTACTATGCCATTCTTGCTGTTATCAAACAAGAAACTCCCTACAATATTAATCATTGCAGGCAATGGTGTATATCTCGTCAGCTCTGGTGGGGCCATCGCATTCCCTGTTACTTCATAACCGTTGACGATGCTAGTATTCCTGCTGGTGATGTAAGTAAATTTGTATGAACTCCTTGCACAAGTGCCCCTGTCCAGGCTTACGAAGGGGAAACTACCTTGAGGACATTTGAATGCATTGCCTTCAGCACCTAACGCTTGTGGCTTGTTCACATTCAGAATGAAATAAGTTGTGCATACTTTCCATGTGCACATGAACCCTTCGCCGTTTTCGAAAACCGTTTTCGAAACCCTGTTCTTGAGTGACCCGCAAAGGTTCTCGTATTGCCGATTACGAACGCCCAAGTGCGTGTGGAGTGCAGCTGGTCGAAAATTCAAGATGGCAGCCCCCGTTTAAAAACGGCACATGAAAAGAAGGAACAATTGATTGAATTAATGCCCAAATAACTGAAATCCCGAAACAGCTATAGAACTTGGCAAAGGCAAAGCTGACAAGCCCACTCTATAAACGCATACAATTTTATTTTTGTATCGTTACTGCTCCTGCACTGAATGAATGCTGCTTTCATTGTCATATGCAAATATTAAGGCAAGTTCCAGTAGGTGCCTAAGTCCGCCATCTTTGTTCTTGACGTTCTTCATCTACTCCCCAATAAATGGGGAGTGAGAATCTTGTTCGCGAACACCGTTCATTCAACACGAGATCGGGGTTTCGAACATACGCCCCTTGTGTCCCTCCCATGGTTCCTCTCACTGTTGGAGTCGCTCAAGCCTATTGATATGTCAAAATGAGGTTCAAAGTTAGTTCCCCTGCAAAAAATAAGTAATATTCGAAAGACTCATTTTACAGGATCAAAGAAGTTTTTTGGAATGAGAAAAGATTTCTTCGTAAATTTGATGAAGAAATGCATCAAGATAATTTGTTACAGTTTTCCACATAACAGATTATAAACATACTTCTTGATTACCTTACCCCAAAATAGTTTTTGTGAGAAAACAAAATTGTATAGGTAGGGAAAGAGAAACATATTAGTTGATGATGTTTTTAATTTTTTTTTAATTGGATAATAGAATGTAGATAACAATTATTGGGTCAGCGCCAGATCTGAAGCAGAGGCCCTACAGATTGCTGCCGAACGCTTCAAAGTTCCTGCCGAGAAGATCTCACTCAAACAAGGTAAAGTAGCTTGCCCAAGGATACCAACTATGAATTAATTTACGATAAAACAGAGTTAGTCAAACTATGGTTAGGCCAAAAAAAAAGGCTCCAGTTTCTGGTCTGCGCGTGTCGCCGTAGCCATGCGGGGCGGCAAAATTATTATTTTTTTATTGTAACATGATGTCTCAAAACCACCAATCTCACTGGTTTGACTGGAATCCTGCTACTGCACGATTTTATCGTGTTTTTAGATGGGGTTACGATCAAGTATAAGCTCTGTGTGGCCTTTCTGGGTTCCCATATATTTTGCACTAAATTTAGTCGGGCACCATTTGCAGTCATCAGCCGACATTTGAAGAAAAACAAGTTAAAAAAAAAAAAAGCCGCAACGCTGCACCACTTTTTGGGCAAGCTCCATAACAGAAACCGGAGACTTTTTGTTTTGCCTTAACCTATGGACCTTGATCGAACATGCCCTTAAATGGCCCTCTTGGACCAGCCAAAACACCCCAAAGATGGCCGCTAAATGCAAATAGTTTATATTACCAGCAAGGGTATTGCAAACCTATCACATTCATTTCTGTTTCTGTGCATTTTTCCGATAGATGAGGATGTACTGGATACGTGGTTTTCATCAGCCATCTTCCCATTCTCCATATTTGGCTGGCCCAACCAGGTAGGTGGCTTGACCATTTGATCAAATTGTCTTTGTGAAGTAAGAGTACTTTTTATTTGGATTGAGCTGAAGACTAGAGATTGCTCCATTATTTAGGACTGTTTTGGTCACCATATGACCAAAGGGAAGAATGCAAAATTAAAGAAGTTGCTCGAAGTTGAACCGTGAGGTATCCAGTAAAACCTCTTAAAACCTCAAGGTAAACCTCAAAGTAAACCTCAAGGTAAACCTCAAAGTAAAGCTCAAGGTAAAGCTCAAAGTAAACCTCAGGGTAAACCTCAAGGTAAAGCTCAAGGTAAAGCTCAAGGTAAAGCTCAAGGTAAACCTCAAAGTAAACCTCAGGGTAAACCTCAAGGTAAACCTGAAAAAACCTCAAGGACCCGCCTGCTTAATTCTGCATTCTACCCTAATCAAGATGAAACACTTGATATGTTTGATATGATAATGATATGTTAATGTCAACCAGTCTAGAATAATAATAATGGATACTTATATAGCGCTTTTAACTACGTATCAAAACGCTTTACATTATTACTACCTCATTGGGCTGGTATTACGTTCCAAAGACAATCTGAGCTACCTTGGAGTATTCAGCTCAATGCTGCCATGTCGGTGCAAAGAACTGGTAGCTTAAAACAGTAACAGTAACCATCTCTGCCCTCACAGGTACAAGGCTTCCTTCTTGCATTAGTTCTACCAAATTTACCTTCCGTGTTTTTGTTTTTTTTGCAGACTGAGGACCTGGAAGTCTTCTACCCAGGCACGCTTCTCGAGACAGGCCACGACATCCTGTTCTTCTGGGTTGCCCGCATGGTGATGTTTGCCTTCAAGTTGACGGACAAGCTGCCGTTCAAGGAGGTGTATCTGCACGCCATGGTGCGCGACGCTCACGGCCGCAAGATGAGCAAGTCGCTGGGCAACGTCATCGATCCCATTGACATCATTCAAGGGATCACGCTGGAGGTAAGTGTGATGTGATCGTTCGTCACTTATATGTAAAAACAAGTGTTCCCAAATGGATGTGAATGGGGGAAGTAATAACAAGGTTGTTAACGGACTACTCTGTGCTGGAATGTTTCAGGAATTTTTCCCAGGTCGATTAACTGTAAAATTATTTTTATTATTTTTGGTTTATTTCCACTGGCTTGCAACCCGACCATTGAATTGTATAGTGGTGATATTAATAAGACCTTTACAATTATAAAAACAAATTTACACAATTCATTTTAGGATTTGGATAAAAATACATCAGTCAAAACTTTCAATTATTTTTTAGAAAGATTAAAACACACAAGGATCCCCTCATGACAAACATAAGGTTAAAAACATAGAAATTAGATTGGACGACAGCCAGCGGAATACCATTTACTGCAAATGGTCAGGGAAGCTAGGGTAAAGTAAAATAAAATAAATGAAATGCGACATTTTTCTCTTTTTTTTTTGCCATTAGAATCTACACAAGTTGCTGGAGAACAGCAACCTTGATCCCAGGGAGATAAACAAAGCTAAGGAGGGTCAGACGGCTGATTACCCCAACGGTATCCCAGAGTGTGGCACGGATGCACTGAGGTTTGCTCTGTGCGCTTACACTGCACAAGGTATGGAAATAAACCACAACAAATTGGCTGGACTCCAAACACTGTTTGATTCGAGACAAGCTCTTGCATGAACACATGCGTTAATAAGGGAATATAAATGTGTGCTTGGGAAGTTTTAAACACTCTGTTTAAGACCGCTTGGAGTTTCGGGTAATTATCAGCACCCAGACTCCAAGCGGTCTTAACCCTTTCCTTACCATGGGCGAATTTTGTCGACAAGAAGAACCCCCCTGCTGGTTCCCATGGGCGACTTTAGTCGACCAGGAAACCACACACAAAACACCCTCAACACAGATATATTCACTACTTTTCAGAAAGGCGGCATGTTGATATGTTTGGCCGTCCATACATCAACTATATACCAGCTGAAAGAGTGTTTTCGGATCGTTCTAATGGTGTAGTTTATTCATAGTGTTGCCATTACAAAAAAATGAGAAAAGTGCTTCAGAAGTGTCCACACACAAATTGAGGTATGGAGTGCCATTTGGTCATGTGGTGAAATGGCTTGCAGTTTGATAAATGGGACCAAATGAAGAAAAAGGCATAACTTTCTTATATTTGCACATATGGACTTCATTTTTACATCACATACAAGAGTAAGGTTCAAGGAACAAACTTTACACGCAACACCTATGATTTAAATCACTCCTTGGTAGTGAACATCTGGGTTGAAAAAAGTGAGTTTTGGACTTGTGGTCGTTTGTTTCATGCTCTAGTGATTTCCGCATGAATGAGCAAACAATTTGGTCCTGGGGAGAGCCAAGTCAATAAACAATGTGGTAATGAAAAGGTTAAACAGAGTGATTAATACCTACCAAGCACATATTTATTCCAATTCATAATTGGACCAAAATTCACACTAGAGCCTCTTAACCTGAGTTGAACTCAACCCTGGGTGAACCCAGTGCCGCCCCAGGTTGAGTGTTTTATTTTCCAACCCCACGTTCAACCCTGCATAGTTTCACGCTTGTTTCGTGCAAACCAAGCTTAATATTTTGCTCGGTAACTACTGTTTTGAACCCCACTGAGAGTTTCAACTCGGGTTGAAAATGTCAACCCTGGTCTCGAGCAGGGTTGAGTTCAACCCTGGGCGACATCAATCTCAGGGTTGACGCGGGGTTGGTGCAGGGTTGAACATTTTCAAGTGTTTAACGCTGCATGTTTTCACCCCTGTGTCAACCCCGCGTCAACCCTGAGATTTGTCTAGTGTGAAAAGGCCTTATGTTGAATTCCGGTTCAACACTGGGTTTTTGGACATGTATGTAAAGGCCCTTGTGACTGTTCAGTTTTTGAATTATTGTCTGCAGGTCGTGACATTAATCTGGACGTGCAGCGCGTTCAGGGCTATCGCTTCTTCTGCAACAAGTTGTGGAACGCCACCAAGTTTGCCCTGAAGGCAATAGGGGACGACTTCACACCGCTTGCTGAATTCAAGGTAAGGAAGGCATTCCCAGGCAAAAAACAACATGCTTCTCAAAAGCCAGTTCATTGACAACTGATGGGGCTACCCTGGTAAAATAACACGAAATAAGTAAATGAGTAAATAAATAAAAATTATATTCCTGCTCTGAAGCAAAATTGTGAGATAAAGATTTTATCCTGCTATTATTTCAGAACTCTGTATGTTTAAATGAATAAAACACTTATTAGTCTCTTCTTGTTTGTGGATTTTTGAATAAAAAAATAAAAATTAGCTGTGCATAAAGATTGATATGCATGTAAACACTTTTCAAAGTTAGAAGCTTTTTTTTACAACTTCAACTATAATTAAGTCTTAAAAATACAGTTGAATTTTAAAATACATTCTCCTGCGAGCCACACCCAAAAGCTTGATCGTGCTATCTTTTTTAACATTTCTATTATCAGAGCTGTTGTGTTTTCATTGGAGAGGCATTCAGATAGCCATACTTTGCCCAGTGTACCTCTTACCAACCCAACTGCCTTAAGGGCCCCTTTGTTTTTCGACTAGGATTTCAAACCTCCAACTTCTGCATATCTGCACTGTTGCTACATGTATGCCCAATCAAAGCAAGACACTAAACCCCCCCAAATACTTGCAAATACATTTTTTTTGGGGGGGGGGTGGGAGAGGAGGGTCTAGGTACGCTGGTAATTGATCTTTTTCATCACTCTAAGTTGAGTTAACATTTAAAAGATGAGCTCAATCACTCATAATCTTTCCTCTTTTGACAGTTGAGTGGTTCCGAGACTCACATGGACCGCTGGATTCTCAGCAAGCTAGCTGGCACTGTCAAAGTCTGTGAGGACGGCTGGCCGACCTATGACTTCCCCGGCATCACCACACGCATCCATGCATTCTGGCTGTATGATCTATGCGACGTCTACTTGGTAAAAATAATAATTTGTGTTTGTGTGTGTGTGTGTTTTCATTTTAAGAACATTTTAAAAGAAGCGTCCGTCATTTGTAATGCTGCATGCTCGTTTGATGCAACAAAAGTGCTCAAAACCTAAAGAAGGGTGCTAAACAACTAACCTGATGAAGTTTTAGCTCAGTGAATGCTGTATATTCCGAGAAAACAATATTCTAGGATCTCAATTTCAAATCAAAAGTTGCTGGGTCATGTTTTGAATTGGGCCTGAATTCAGCGTCCGAGACATGTTCTCACTGAGCTGATTGTAGCTAAGCGATGTCGCGCACCGAACTGTCGAATTATAGCAACTGCGCGCGTGCGTGTGTGCGTCGTGTCAACGCTTGCATGAGCTTCGGTGAATAAACAAACACACTACTAACAGAAAATGTCCAACTTTTGTTGGGAGAAACTTTCTTTCATTCATTTCTTTAAAACAACAGCTTGCAAGAAATAATTTAAAGGGAGTTTAGTTCCATTACTATCTCTAAACCAAGTATGCTTTTCAACAATAAATACGTCAAGTACTTTTTGGATAGCTGCAAATGATGTACCTTTAATAGCCTTCCCAGAAACCTTGGCCTGGGTAAAGTCAATGCTTTACAGCTGATTTCCAAAAAATCAACATTTTTCTAAACCAACTTTTCTGCTGACATCCAGGAGTCCATCAAGCCCGTCTTACGCGGCTCTGACACCGCGGCCCTGGCCACCACCCGCCAGGTCCTGTACACCTGCCTGGACGTTGCCCTGCGCCTCATCTCTCCCTTCATGCCTTTCCTGACCGAGGAGTTGTTCCAGCGGTTACCGCGCAGGACCGCGAACGAGCCGCTCAGTATATGCGTCACACCCTACCCTGAGACATGCGAGGTATTGTTTCTATTTCTCAATTTTATTTTCTCGAGTTGAACAGAGAAATTGACTAGAGCGAGGTTTGAACCCGCGACATCTGGATTGTCATTCCGGCGCCCTAGCAAGTGAGCTATCCAGCCCTGTTAGCTCAGTTGGTGGGGTGTCGGAATGGTAATCCGTAGGTTGCAGGTTCAAACAACCACTCTAGTCAATTACCCTGTTCAACATTAGAATTATTAGAATGCACCTAGTTTATTTGATAATTTACATTTCTTCTTAATTTCTTTTGTCGTCATTATGATAGCTTTTGATAGTCTAACACACACTAGTAAATGATTTTGAAAGGCATATTGCTTTTTATGGCCTTTGTTCACTTCTAATAACAGCACTCAAAATCCGAAGAAGAACGTTGAAAACCAATCCCGTTTAACTTTCAGCTCAGTAGATATTACACTTTTCAAGAAAACAGTGGAAAAAATGCACAAGCTTTTGATCACAAAGAATGATCTTTGTCTGTAGTACTCTTTATTTCCCAAAAAAAACCAGTCAATTGACTGATCGTTGGAAATCACCTATATTTCTTGATGTCTTCTAAACGACAGCAAGCCAGATTGAAACATTAAGATGGTTTATTACCAGTACAATCTTTAATCCAAGTAAGCTTTTTGATAATAATTCAGTAGGTTACTTTGGTGATAAATGCTAATAATCCTATACGTCTTTGAAGTTATTCTTTGGTATCGTCTACGTTGATTTTTTCTCCCAGCATCCATGGTACAGTGAGCAGATCGAGGCGGAGGTTTCTCTGGTCCAAGACATCGTTGGTAAAGCCAGGTCCATGAGAGCCGACTACAACCTGACCAAGCAGAAGGCCGACAGTAAGTTGGGTTTGCTCCGCTGGTAGATTGACTTTGGGTCCGTCTTTCCCTCGTTTGATAGCTGCTGTTATAAAATCTTATCTACAGAACCAGTCGCAGGACTGGCTGAGAGCGTGTCACAATATTCAAGGTCTTTTACTTTTTCACACCTCCAAAAAAAAATATACCATGGCAGCCTCACTCTGAAAAGTAGTATAAATTGTTGCATAAACATAGCAACTGAATATCTGTGTGTAGACACAGGTGTGTGGGCTGTTTCTTGATGATAAGTATATGTCTATCTAACACACCCAAAAAGAATATGCCATGTTAGCCTTGCTCTCAAAAGTTGTATATTGCACCAACCCAGCAACTGAATGATTGTGTGCATGCACAGGTGTGCTGGTAGTCTTGGCCCAAGACGTCAGTGATTGATAGCGATTGTCGCATTGTTGTTGCAAATCTCGTTAGCGATTCTTGATCAACGCACGTGGCGTGTTTGTTTACAACCATCGCGCGAGCGTACGTGACTGACTATAAACCATTTCCTGATCCCTGATTGGTTCCCTTGTAAAGCCTGGGGAGAAAATAAAGAAAAAGTTACTCGGCTACTACATGTACAAGTTTCCCGAGAAGTTAATGCGAGCAGGCGCTGTTCTAATCAAGCCGTTAGATATACACAATCCACTATCAATCACCTTGTTGGTCGCTGAGTGATGATTGATGTCACAGGTGACATGGTCAATATTTTAAGCCATTTGCACCTGTACTACAATGTATTACAATGTACTTATTCACTGAGGAGTACTTAAACTCATTGAGTGCTAAGGCTATCTTGGTTGACTTTGGGTGTTACAGGGAGTGAGAGACAGGGTGGTTTGGGGCAGTACAGGGACTGATAGGCTAAACTTACATGTACCATTTTGCCCCATTAAGGCTCACAAAACTGACAGTTGTGTACTCTGTGTTGCCAAAATTTCGGGCCACGTGAATTTTTTCTGTGTAAATGAGTTGGGGTGCTGTGGTCCAATGGTTACGGTGTTCGACTCGTGTGCTGTGGTACACGGGTTCGAATCCTGGCCGTGGGAACATGGTGCTTGTGCTCTTGAGCAAGGCACTTTACCACTATTGCTTCGTCCTTCGGATGGGATGTAAAGCCATAGGTCCCGTGTGTTGTGTAATGCACGTTAAAGAACCCAGTAACACTTGTCGCTAAGAGAAGGGGTTCGCCCCGGTGTTTCTGGCAGTGGCCGCAGCACCTTGCCACACCTCTAGTTAAAATTCCCTAGATGGAATATTTCGGAGGACCACCAACCAAGCAAACCAAGCAAGTTGGAATTGAATTGAGTTGAGGAGGGCATCCTTGCAATGTGTACATCAACTGTGGCTGCCGTGGAGACTGTACAGTAAAGTAACGGCATTATTTTTGTAGCCCAAGTTGCCACTCCCATGCAAAGCTTCCAAAGCAGCATTGATGTTAAATGCAACAGAAAGCAACAGAGTCCCATGCCGTGTTGCATCTTGTTGCATTTAGCAGGGTAACTGCTCATATTGCCAAAGCTGATACCACAGATTCCACTGTTGCAATTTGTTGCATTTAGCAGGGTATTAACTGCATACTGCCAAGGCTGGTGTGTACCGAATTCACTATACAATGGAACAGTCTACTGTTGCTTTTAGCAGGGTTTTTCATTTCAGTTGTGTAGCATTCTATAGCAGGGTGCCAAGAGAAAACCAGATTTGCGTTAATTCCAGGGTTAATTCCAAAGCATTGTTAAACAAGAGTTAAATTTGCAACTAAAAATTATATTTCCAATTTCAGTGTACCTGCGGTGTACAGACCAAGCAGTCGCCGATACGCTCAGCCTCTATGAGAGCCTTATTTCGACACTCTCATCGGCGTCGGCTGTTCATTGCCTGGTTGGAACAGCGCCCCCTAGTGGCTGCGCCATGGCAACCGTCTCGGACAAATGCGAAGTGCACCTTCTACTCAAGGTAACGGAGACTGTTGTCAGTTGACCAAATTCGTTTAGCCGGTAAAGCACCAATTGTCAAGTTTTAGTTGTACTGTCCACAGCGCTAAGTTTGACAGGGCCAACCGGGTGGCGGAAGATTTACATTGTTAGTTTAAAGGTATTATACAACATTTGCAACTACCAAATTATTATGAAATACCTCACTTGACTGTAAGTGAATAATAGTCTCATGCATCCTGTGAAATCATGGCACCTGGTGCGCTGTCATTTTCTAGAAAAGTAGAATTTTTGTATGAATTTCAAACGATGGGAAAAACCAGACTTTTTTTAAGTACTGCCCCAATTTATCATATTCATATTTTGTTTGCAATGGGTTACACCTCTACAAATGGATGCAAGCCAGCTAGTCTGGTTCCCTGACCTGGCATTCCATAGACGTCTATAAATTGCTCCGTTTCCTCTGAAGTAGGGTCAGGGAACCAGACTACAAGAACATCATCTTGTTTTTGGTTTTTCCACGATCTATGAACACAAACTTTAAACAGGTCAGTCTACCAATATTTGCTATGAACTACTAACTCCCAAATCAATTCATTTCTGAAAATTTCAGCAAAAGCAAATCTTGTATATTACCTTGAAGAATGTTCACAATCACTTGTGGTAATTATGTTCTTTTTTTTTACAAAATTAAGTCCAATGGTAACGCTACACACGATGTATCCACAGACTACTCTGATATTGTAGTCTCCACAATGCACAATGCAAAGCCTCAAAATCATATTATACAAATATTGAGTGGCTCAGAGTGAAATGGGAGGAATATTATCGCAAGGTAAAATCTGGACTTTTCCATTTCACAAGGTGAAGCTGAGTGAACTGGAAAAGTCCAGATTTTATCGAGCGATAATATTCCTCCCATTTCACAATTTAAAGCCACTCGATATTTGTTTTACATGACTGACATATAGATCCTTGATATTTGAACTTTTATTTCAATACAAAATTGGTGGAAAATGTACTTCTCTCTTCCAAACCACCCCTTCACGAAAATGTTTGAACCGAACTCTGTAGCGCTGGCTCTTTGGAACAATACGCACTACGCGCAATGCTTACCGCGTACACCAGCATGCATTTGCACACAAATACCGCGTCATGGAACAAGAGTGATCCTAACTGTTGAATAGTATTTCCCATTCCCCATGGGCGAATGGGACTTTTTGAGCCCCGGCGTGAATGGGAGCAATAATGAATGTCGCGTGATGTGAGTTCCACCAATCAAATGACAAGGATCTGTATGTAAGTTAAATATAATTAGTACTGTTTCGAGCCCTGGGATATGTTGGATTTTTCTCTGATTTTCAGGGCTTGGTTGATACTGAGAAGGAGATCAGCAAGCTTGCCCAGCGAATTGAGAAACTGGAGGTCCAGCGCAACAAGCTCCAACAGGCCACGATGGTACCAGACTATGCCACTAAGGTCCCTCAGGCTGTACAAGACAGCAATAAGGAAAAGGTAGGTGTGATTGTAACATGAGGGGCGGAGACTGGGAAGTGGAATGTGGGGGTAAAACATTAATAGTGCTTTTCACTTATGATAGTGATCGATGGTCTACCACTAACATAAACATAAGCTACGTGCTATGCACCCATGCGTATTGCACGAAGCATGAATAGTGACCTCACACGGCTGGGATACAATATGCAAATCACTTGGTGCCTAACAAACGCCTTGGAACAGCGGTCTATCTTTTTTGGGCAATTTTCGTGATTTTGTTGCTGGATTTATATCAATTTAGATTTGGTCTGCTGGCTCCAAACTTTTTGGAAAGTGCAGCCACACTGTCTAGCTCTCTAACCATGTAAATTATGAGCCTCCACCACCAAGTTCTGAATAATAATTTCATCTTTATTCGCATATGAAGTTGTCCCTGCAAATCCAGCGACAAAATACAGACAAACATAAGCACAGGTGTATGTTTGTTCCCAGGTATTCGTTCGGCATCAACTGATTTGCATATTGTAGCCTAGCCACATGTGGTTGCTTTTCCTGCTTCGTACTGTGCATAACGTGCAGTTACAGTTATGTAATAGCTGTCGACTATCGATCATCGGACACTATATTGCCTTGATCTAGGCAACTAGTGAGCATACCTGATTTCTACATGATTTTGTCAACCCTCTCAGTAAAAGTGTACTTATAGGTAATAAGGCTAAAGTTGCATGTGTATGGTCCACGCTCTAAAACAAACTTTTTGGACAGAATTTCATACAAGGCCACCACTCATATTCCTTAATATGACCTGAAAAGTACCCAAAGTTGTTAATCCGATGAAGAAACACTATTTTAGGAGTGCAAAAATTCTTTGATAATGCTTATTCTTTGTCTGTCATTGCCCATAGACTTTGTGCAGGAGGTGCGAGTGGTGGCTTTGTGTGGAATTTTTCCAACTTTTTTTATGACACTGTAAATAATGTTGCCCAGAAAAAGTTGTCAAAGAGAAATTGTTGTTAAATAGTCAGGCACTTTAATCAATCTTCAACCAAAGCAAACTACTATATAATGACTACAATTAATAAACCTGCTCTATTAAAGTCAATACCACATACATAACAACAAGTAAAGCAAAAACTGCAAGTATGGATAAAAAGAACAGAATGAAGAGAGGCCCCTCAAATAAAGAGAACACTTTCCCCTGTCTGCTCTGGTAGCTTTAAACTGAGTTGTTTTCACATGCATATTTGTGTTTGAATGTTTTTGGCAACTATACATGTTTACAAAAAAAAAGGGGGCTACATGTCTTCAAAAGCATGGGAGTTTGTACTCTAAAATAGCACATTAAATACCACATGTAATTGAAATTAAGTCAATAAACAAGACTCGATGTGGTTTTGAAGTACGCCAATGGGTTAAGCAAAACTAAATTTTGTTTTCAGTGATCAAATGGTAAATGACAATTGGCTCAATCTAATAATTTGGGTTCCACTTTTTTTCCTGTCCCTGTCAAAATTACATCTGTCATTTAAGATTGTCTAATGTTGAATGCACTCCTTGACGCAGTCGTCCTCCAAGAGTGATTATTAACAGCAAATAACCAAACAAATAAAAACATAGTTTAAAGTCATTATTAATGTTACTCGACTGGCAAATTACAAAGTTAGTTCAGAGGTAACTTGGAGAGAAAGATGGTCACACTTTGTTCCTGAATTTCATAGAATGACCCAAAGATGTATTATACATATATGATTATGTTTTGGGTACCATACATTTTGATACAGCAAAACTAAAAACAATATTCTGGTTCTTTTTTTGTTTGTTTTTATTTTAACATAGATGAGTCAAACAGAGAACGAAGTCCAGAAGCTCCAAGATGCAATGGAGATGTTCAGAAAGGTCAGCGGGGATAATTGACCTTTATCCTTGGAACTTTTGGATATTTTCCAGCCTCATCAAGCACGTGCAAGACTCACCCGTCACATTAGTTAATTGCAAACTGCAAATCTAAGATAGTTTCTGAGTGTAATAAAACTGTAAACCAGAAAATTATCATGTGACAATTACGCACAATGCAATATACAATACGAATGTTATTGGGAGTCACTATAAGATCGCAGTAAGTTTTCGATGATATCTTACATACCATATTTGTCACATTTTGGTTTGTGCTCTCTTCTGTTTTCTTTCTGACTTTGTTTCTTTATTATTAAACTTTCTTTTCCCTGACATCCATTTTTGGTCCCTCTCCAGTTTCTTTTTATTTACACAATGATTTTTGGAAAAGCAGCCATGATCTTAATTCCCTTTTTTTTTTTTTTAATTGATCACAATTTTTTTTTTGAGGGTGACAGTAGTCCTTCATTGTAATGATAATATTCACTATTCTTTGGGACTAACTTTTGAAATCTTAAATATATACAACTGCACACAGTTTTAACTTGTGCAAAGATGTAATAGATATTTCTATTTATGGTGGTGTTTCGTTGTACTTATGCAGGATACTAAAGAAAAGCTGAAGGTTTTTGATATTATGATATACTTGCCAACACTTTCAAAGTGTATGCTACTGTTAACTAAATCTTACAACTACACACAACATGGTATAGTTCAGCCTGCAACTAAGTGTCTGGTTTAAAAGCAACAGGGGCTCATATGTTCAGCTTTCTGAATGAAACAAAAGTAACAGAACATCTTACAATAGACTCATTGTCCAGCCATTAAAAAAAGGTTAAATTGCACAATTTCCACGAGAACAATAATTTGGAATAGTTTGCCATGTTTATCAAAAATGATCTGAAAAAAATATTAAAATAAAAATGTTACAATAAGGGAAATTTATAGAAGTAACACGCATTACTCTCTGTTGAATTTTCAATATTTTTTAACTGCTGAAAAATCATGGGTTTGTTGGTGCAAACATCTCATTAATCTCTAAAGTTGAATAAATTGTATCTGCAGGAACACTACCTTGAGTGTGTTTGTCAGTTGTATGTGTCGGCGCTCATTGAGAACGTGAATATTATGTACTCTGCAAAGGTCTGCAATCAAAACATAGCCTACTATAATGATCCCATGTATTCATGCGTAGACAAATATGCCCAAATAAAGGGAATGGCAAATACTTTGAGTATAGATTGTTACAAAATGTTGTCCTATGTTTTTTATACTCTCCTTTTAATGTTCCTTTCAAATGTCCCCCCCCCCCCACCACCCCGCGCTGCCCCAGGTCCGATGTCGGGATATGGTCACGTTTTTCATGCCCCAGGAAGGGATTACATTGTTACCACTGGCGTACTACATGGAAATGCAATTACTAGTGAGCCCCACAGATGTACATGTGTATGTCGGGGATTGTCACTTAAATTTTGCCCCAGGGGTGGGGATTTTGTCACTTCAAAAGTGACAATCCCCACGTCTTGGGTGGGGCAGCCCGGGGGGTGGGGGGGGGGGTGGGGAAACAATTGATAGGCACATAACCCTAAAAGGGCCGAGGCGGAAGCTGTGAGATGTTCAAAATAACCCGGCCCTTTTAGGGTTAAATAAATCATATTTTTTTTGGAAATACTTGTCAAAAAAGACACAGCAGCTCTACTTCTTACACTATACATTTAAATCAATTTTTTTCCGGTCTTGTATTGAAAAAATCTTGCACTTTAGAGAAGTCTTGTATTTTATAAAAGCCTAGAAACAATGTGGCAATGCAACCTGCCTTATATTACTCTTGGTTCAAGACTGGATTCTAATCCCCTATTTTGCAGCCAGTTCGGTGACAAACACGGTTAATTTGCCGCGGCGATGGAGGTCTCTCAGCAAGATGAATCAAATCCACTCTTGGCAATTTTGGCAGCGCTATACCCAGGACATTCCGAGCATACCTCACACGCTCTGCATTGATGACGTGAGTACAGCGTGTGTGACAGAAGTTTCCTTCTGGGTAGTGCGCTGCCACTACTCCTGCCGAGACTGGATTTGATTCTCGACTAATTGGTAGGGACCGGCTGTATAAGGGAATAAAATCCAAATCAAGTCTCATTTGGACCAAGACTAGCATTACAAAGTTGATAATACAATTTAAATGAACTACAACAAATGAAAGGCTTTCATTTTGTCATTGTTCACCCCTGTGACCTTACTCTGGTGAATTGATTACAAGTGTCTCCTTAATTCTTATCCTTATTCTTATTGGACATTAGAATGTACTCTGTGGTACAATTTAACAGAGGTGGTATCGGCTACAGCAAGCTTCGTCCCATCTGCCGTGAATGCGATACCGCATGGTCTGTACAGACCCTTCACAATGCAGCAAAGAAAAGCCCCATTTTCATCATATTGGTGGATATGACCGGTATTGTTATTTTTGCCATGCAATGCTACATAAATGCCTAATCTATCACAGCACACGCCTTTGCACTGTATTTTTTCCTCGCCATCGATGGTTGGCTTGATGGTGAATAGTTTATCGCCTTTGTCATCCACCGAAACCACTTCTGCTTTTTCTACATCGCTCGCAACAAACCTATCATCCACGTCAACAGCCAGATATGACGGTGCTATTTCCAGTGGTATGGTTCGTATGACTGAACAATTATTGGCGTTGTGTTCAGTCAACACTTTCCTCTTGATATCACCGACAACGATGTTACCATCATTTCTGACTGCTACGGACACTGGTATAGCAAAATTATACGGAAGCCCTGGCAGTATTTCTTTAATTTGTCTTTTAAGGTAGTCGGGCCAAGTCTGTGCCGTAGAAAACTTACCAGACACAACCTCGTTGTCTCTATTGTGAATTTTGACGTTGCTAGTGCCGTCAGCAATAACCAACTGGTTGCGTGCCGCAGCAATGCCCAAGTGTTTTGAAGCTAGACATTAGAGCAAATTATTATAAAGAGCTTTAAAATTAACCACAGATGTAAAAGCCTTGGTTAAGGCTCTCGTGGTTATTCGTCCCGCGGTAATCAATCGCCAGTGCATGTAAAATACAGCACGAACAGCGACCTCATGCGGCCACTATTTTATGCAAATCAGTTGGACCCGTTCGAGAGCCTTGGTTCAATCGTCCATGTGAGGTTTTGGGGGTGGTACTCATAATGCTAATAGCCTGCTGACCTTAAATGTCGTTTTGTTATTGGTCGATCGTTGCGTGGAAACTTGCATAGCGTTGAAACGTGGCACCGTACATGCTGCATATAGTCTGGTTCCCAGACCAAAAGATTCTGACTATTCCTGATGAATCTTAGGTCCGGTAACCGCTGGCAATACATTGTACTACAATTTAGATCACGTGACTAAAACGGGAGGAATTCCTCCTCTTTTCCGAAAGTGTCCGAAGTTTGCCGAATTCATTTCGTCGACAATCAGATAGCGCCCGAGTATTTCCGAGTATAATATAGGTTTAATTAACTGCTAATTGCTTATTAAATACTTTTTTAAATGAGTTGATAATTAATATTCATTGCTTTCATTTAGAAAAGTTGAAATTCAACGACAATTTTGTGCATCAAATATGCTCGGATCGTACGGGCGAACTTTTTGCAGCGTCATGTACTACATGTATTTTGAAGCATAGCGCGCGAGTATATGCCGCCGATTGATTGCCGCGTATACGGACGAATAACGACGAGAGCCTTGGCCAATGCTAGATCTTATCCAGCAGGCACAGGTAGTTCAAACTAATTGTTGTGCTTATTAAAAGCTATAATAAAGCGATGTCGGAAAATATATTTATCAACTGCTGGCTGCAGCTTATTATGTGATGTTGTGACAACCTCAAAACTAGTTTTGGGAGCACATACTTTACTGAATGCAAAAAGGCCATTCATTTGTTTGTTTTGGAAACCGCTCTGATGATATTATGATTCCAACTTCATTTGTCATAATATATTGTACTAACCCTATAGAATATTCTTTTTCCTCCAATCACTTCTTGGTTTCTTAATGGTATTAACAAAGCAATAGCCCCCAAAACAGCCCATCGGACAGACAAACTAAATACACGGCAACTTACCATTGTCAATTGTAGATTTAATTGTTCTCTTGTGTTTGCCTTCTATGTTGAATATGATCACTTGGCTGGTTGATTGTTGCAGAGGCAAGATGTTGGGATGAAACTCTGCCACAGCGATCTCATCAACCTGAGTCGCAACAATGCCACAAGCTGACTTCAGTTTGATTCGGCCGAGTAATCCTCCTTCGTGAAATTCTGTAAATTCGTCCCATAGTTCCCACAGGACATCCGGATGTAACTTGCCAATATTTATTTGGTCACTCTGCTTGAACTTAAGGGCACACCTCTGATGAAAGTTGTGATCAGTCTGTGGAGGCTTTTCATTGGCCAGTGACTGAATACTCTTTCTGAAAGTAGGAAAGAGTGTCAACAGTTGACTATCTGTTGCTGCGCTCTCAAATTTTGTGGCCGTATCCAGTGAATATCTCGCCCTTTGCATCATCATGGTCACTGTCCTCTCGTGTCTGTTTAATGGTTTGTAGTGATTGTTTTCTGCCAGTCTGATTTGGTCAATTAATTCGTTCTCTTGAGTTAAAATCGCGTTTCTTACCATGGCTGCTCTGTCTTTGACATCCTGTATTGTGTTTTCTATGTTGTTTGTTATCTCCTGCTTATCTTGAGATGTGATTACTGATGATCTTTCAAGACCATCTATGTGTCGTGCAACAGCTGGAAATAGATCTTTTAGTGATTGTCTGCATTTGACTGAAGCTGTCACCGAGTCGAAGTAGTTGTGTTGTGGTTTAGAGTGGTCTTTGATGGTACAATCTTGGCAGATGAACTCTTCACAGGTCTCGCAGTAGAAGTTCCTTTCCTTCCCGCTGTGCTGTCGACAAGACCCATGATCTTCTGATTTCAAAAGTGCCACCTTTCCCTGATGAATTTCTTCCAAAGTGGAAACTGTGTGGCTGGATGATGTTGCAATCCTGGCGTGTATTTTTTTGCAATTACTGCAGATCATCTGCTCACAGTTCCAACAGATATTCACCGCCTCATTTTCGTCATCACATATCTCGCATAGAGGCACTTCCGATTCACCTGTGAATGAACGTGCATTTTCTACTTTTTCCTGTAGTGATGTCTCGACTTTACCGCTAAGATAACAGTTTGTTGTGAGACCCTGAATGCCCTGATCAGGAACTTGCATCTCTTGCTGGCATTCAGGACATGGAATACGTGCTGCACCTTCGTGCTTGTTAAAGTAGTATTTCTCCAGACAACTCTCACAAAAGCTGTGCAGGCAGTCCAGTATCTTGGGCTCCCTGTATCTACTCTGACAGATGCTGCATATAAGATTATTTTTGCCCATTTGGTCCGGAGAAGTGGTTAATGCTGTTCCAGTCGCCATTTATATCTGAACAAAAGAAGTGAAGAATGTACAAAACATTTACAATAGCAATTAGATAGATCAAACGACAATCAAGTGAACCTCAATAAAGTCTATACAGATTTGAATAAGATCCATCGCCTTAATAAGTGTATTGGTTAATCATGTACATACAAACTTTCCACCTTGCGCAGCAGAGGTAATCTCAGTATCCACTGGTCAGATCTTATGAGTTGACTGAATACTCTGCACATCAGAGTGCATTTTTTCTACCAATGTATCAAGTGGCTCAAACTGATCATACGAACGGTAAGTAGTGACGCGTCATCATGTACACGTAGACGTTGCTTCATGACGACACTGCGTGCCTGCCAGTGCTGGTTTAATTATCATCTCAACATCTGAACATTGAAACGTAAATAAAGCCCACCCTGCATGGGAAGGCAGGTGTAGCGTGAATATCCGACTCCATGAAATATGGACTCATTGGTAGTTCTGCGCACGCGTGAGTACGATACTATGCTATTTTTAGGATCATTTCGGGAGAGTGACCTGTCACGTGCGAGGGATCAACCAATAATAGGGAAATAGGGGTCCGATGTTCATAGGAGTCAAATTTCCTGTGACACCGGTACCGAACACGGATAATGTCAATAACCAGAGGTCGATCAAGTTGAATTAGGAAATTCAGCCTTTTTTTTTTTGGCGGTCCAGACAGTGAATCATGATGCAACAATTACCTGCTGCATGTATGGTGTCTATACATACAATCACTACCTATGCGGGAGGTAGTGCAGGTACTGGTGCTTGTAAAAAAAAGAAAAAGAAAAAAAAGTGCGTAACAAAAAATCACCAAGAACGCAGAGTGCTTTTCGTTTGAATTCTCATCACGTTGCTCACACTTAATTGCTATTCTACGCTCATCATAACATGGTATAGGCCTAGATCTCCTGCAGTCCGATTTTAGCCGGGTGTTGTTCTTAAACGGTCTTGGTTAAGACACTAAACTTAGCCCATTGCAATAAGCTGGTCTTTACTAAGCCCGCTTAGAGTAATGATTCACAAACAAACATTCCATGGTTACGGGCGAATACTGGAGAGACTGCACGATTTTTTTTAAGGTTTGTGTGAATCAATCATGCAAAATCAAATCTGTCAATTCCGACATTTTATGTTGAGAAAATTGTATTTGCAGTACAACTCAGTGTCATTACATTTTTCCAGAAGATCTCTTCTATCCCAGGGAATGTTCCCTCCAAGCAGTGTTCTGCTATTTTAAGATTATCAAACGCTCACCAACTGGAAAAAAAAAACATTTTGGGAAAGAGTAATTCAACACACCAGTGAATTCCAAAAATCCCAACTATAGACCATTTTAAGCAAGCCCTACCCAGGCTAACTATTTTAAGACTTAATACTTAGACCGTGTCATTGCAATGGTCTTACTTATAGACTGACAGCCAAAGCTTTTAGACCGTCTAAGACCGGTTATTGCAATCCGCCCATGAAGTATTTTACAAAGACCATAGTCAGTGGGCTTGTTGGGCCAATATGCATTTGTGGGTACATTCTTTGAAACTCTCAATTAGAACAAAATTGGTTTTACTGGTAAGGCTGAATTTCTTGATCCATTTTCTGATATGAATTGTATTTTTCCCCCGCAAATTAACTCCACTATGTCCACTAAATGCATATCTTTAAAATTGTTTATTTTCCTTTTTTCAATTACTTTTTTTTCGGGGCTGGGGTTATTCAATGCATGTCTTTCTCTTGCTCAAATGAATGTGATAACGTTTACGTTAATGTAATCCTTTTTTTTTTATTTAAGTTGCCAGCTGTTGGTGTTGATAAATCAAACGTAACAAACACACATTTTTTTTTCTCAGATGGTACTACTCCAAGCCGACACTCATATAGCTCAATAGAAAATGAAGTAATCAATTAGAACAACCGCACCATATAAAAGTATTATAATAATGATTGGGTTTACTGATAACTTACTGATAAGGCCATTTTATTGCAAAATTGTATGATTAATATTATTATTATTATTTTCTGTTGTAGGGTACCATGGGAAATCCGAAAATGCTGCTCTTAAGTTGCACAGCCGGTATTTTTGCCTTCCATCTCCCAAAAAGTGATATTTGTGAGAAACAGCTAAAACCATATTTTCGGCCACTGCTCTCTCAAACATGGTCCCATCGTGACCTGTTTGCACTTTTTACCATCTTGATAGGATGGGTAAACACGACAAAAATATGATTGGTCCCAAGTTTATACGCATTCGTGTTCCCAGGGGGTATATTATTTGCTTCCACCTCTCTGGAAAACGTTTTTGGGGTAGGTTTATTTGTTGTAAAATGAGGAGAAACTAAAGGAATTACTGAAAAAACATAGGTGAATGTTTTTTTTTTGCAGTGTGAGTAAAATGAGTTTTGTTCAGAGGTTTTTCTTCACTACCCAAAAACAAAGGAATTTCCACACTACGTATGCAACGTAAACATGTGTGTGTGTAGGGGGAGGGGGACTAGTAATTTTGGGGTTTTCGTGAATTTTGCCATGCTTCTCGAAGTCCTCACAACGGGCTTTTTGACAGTGTCGATAGAGTAAATTAAGTCATTCTCTTCCATCGTTACAAGGGCTCTAGTCTCGTTTGCTTTTTCCTGCATCTCTCTAGTGGCCTTTGATACCGAGTTCTTAAACATCTGCTTGGCTTTCGATGCAGCTCTTTTGTGAACATCAAGTTCCTTGATTCTTTTTCTCAGACCTGGAAGAAGAGATTCCCGGAACCCTTGGCGCACACTACAAGCCAAATTAGACTCGACACACGTATGACTGTTATGGTCACAAACAGCGCAGTATTTGCAAATCGGCACCTCACATATCTCACAATAGAACCGTTTCTTTTCTCCTCTGTGCATGTGACAGCTACTGCCAGAATTGTCATCCAGTAGTTGACTGAGCTTTTCCGGGCATGAGATCTCCTCAATCATATTTGTCAGATTAAAGTTTGTTTTCAGGCTACCGATGCCCGTCTGTGGTACCACGGTTTCCTGTCGGCACACAGGGCAAGGTATCTTTCCGGTACTCTGATATCTGCCCTTATAGTACTTTTTTAGACACTTCTCGCAGAAGCTGTGCTGACAGTCCAGAGTCTTGGGTTGACTGTATGTCTCTTGGCAGATGCTGCATGCAAGGTGATTTTTGACGAATCTATCAAACGTGGCTTTTACTGTGCTAGTGGCCATTTTGTATCTTGTACGTTGCACGCTGACCAATCAACCCTAACTCCCTAGGGGGTGTGCAAAATTATATTGAAATTGGAGGATTCAGGACTGTTAGGGTTGACATGTTTTAACATGTACGTATTTTGTTTTATAGTAAAAAAGAAATAATCTATTCCAGCTGCTGGCTGTTGATAAAATCAATAGAATATGTTTGCTTTCACCAGGTGCATCGGCAAGCCTACAATCAATAGAATATGAGGCAATCAATTGAATGAGTTGAGAACTACAACATATATTATTGTGGTGGTCTACCCTACTGTAATTCTAGGGTGGGGTCCGTCCATATAATTAAACACGGATGAAAGCTGGAGACTGGACACCATGCAATCAAGCACCTCTCGATCACTGTTTATTATGAATCTGATGCTAGGTCATATTATGGAGATAGAAATAGAAAACCCCCAAAACAAAACCCCAAGGGTCAGTCAATCCTAAATGTTATGATGTCTCATGTATGTACTGGAGTGGTGATTGTACATTCTGCACTGTGAAAATACATAGAACTACATGGTTAAGCACATGTACATGTACGCAGAAAGCTTCATTTTGTACATCACGTGTCTGCAAATAAAATGATCAAAGGAAGCTGTAAGGTGGATCTATATAATCTTGGCTTAATAAATACTCACTTCCTGGAACTTTAATCCCCAAAAATTGTACTATTCTGTCTCATTTCAGGATGCAGGGTTGACACTCCAGAGTTCCTGACATTAGCGTACGGTATTCTCCTACATGTGTCCGAATTTCTCATCGCCCACACTACGCAAAAATATCCCTCCGCACGCAATAGCGGTGGCATAGAGAAAAAGCTCCCACGACAAACACCCCATACATAACGGCGGTGTCCCATCATATCGGGACTCCCACAGTATTATGTTGATCATGATTGGACTTTCAGTCCATACCTAACTCTGTGCCTATTTTTTTCCCCAAAAAATATATCTTCGTTTTTGGAGATTGTGTCACACAAGGTTAATTAATACATTACAATTTCTATATTTTAAGAGGAGTTTGTTCTCTCTTCATTTCCATAATGGAAACATCAACTAGCTAGCTCAATATTTAGTTTGCACATTCTAAATGATGACGTCATCAAACCGGAAATAAGACATACTAAAGTTCATCATATTGAAATTCATCAAAATCCCCAAGGTGCCATTTTTTTCAAATTAGAACGAAATTGGTTTACTGGTAAGGCTGAATTTCTTGATCCATTTTCTGATATGAATTGCATTTTTTCCCCCGCAAATTAACTCCACTATGTCCACTAAATGCATATCTTTAATATTGTTTGTTTTCCTTTTTTCAGTTACTTTTTTTTTCGAGGCTGGGGTTATTCAATGCATGTCTTTCTCTTGCTCAAATGAATGTGATAACGTTTACGTTAATGTAATCTTTTTTTTATTTAAGTTGCCAGCTGTTGGTTGTTGATAAATCAAACGTAACAAACACACATTTTTTTTTTCAGATGGTACTAATCCAAGCCGACACTCATATAGCTCAATAGAAAATGAAGTAATCAATTAGAACAACCGCACCATATAAAAGTATTATAATAATGATTGGGTTTACTGATAACTTACTGATAAGGCCATTTTATTGCAAAATTGTATGATTAATATTATTATTATTATTATTTTCTGTTTTAGGGTACCATGGGAAATCCGAAAATGCTTTTCCTAAGTTGCACAGCCGGTATTTTTGCCTTCCATCTCCCAAAAAGTGATATTTGTG